GTAATTAATTATTTTAAATAATTCAAATTTTATAAGGTAATTTTTTTAATTTTAGATGGTTTAAGAAATATTTGAGTAAACAAAATTTAAAGAAAATATTAAATTTCATTAAAACAACAATTTTCAGTTATTTAAACTGATAGAAAAAATAATTGAAAAAAGTATTTTGCTAAATTAAAAATTTGTTAAAATTAAATTTTAACAAAAACAATAACATATTTTATTACATATATTAGTTTTCGTTCTAAAAAGGTGGAAATATTGTTGAATTAAATTTTATATTTTCTTTCAAATCTTTTAATAAAATATATTATACATCTGATTTTCATTAATTTTTTCACATAATTAAAACTTTTTTTTAAACAGCAAAAAATTATATACTTTAGTACGAACTTTTCACAAAATTATTATTAATTTTTTATATAAAGCATAGTTTTTTTTTCAAATAGTAATTTAAAATTATTTTTGAACTTTTTTTCAATAAAAAGAAAAAATATTTTAATACACGAAAGGTTGTATCAAAATATTTTTACTAAATGAAAGTAATATACAAAATATTTTTAGTAAACAGAAGTAAAATAATAATGAATAAATATTAAAATACTCATTGAAATCAATATTAACTGAATAAAGAAAAAAATTTTAAATGTAGTGTCACTTAAAAAATAGTCTATTACTACCTAAATAAATTCAAAATTTAAATATTTTATTAAAAGCAATATATATACATTGGCTTGTTTCTATGTACTAAAGTTCGTTACCGCTAGTGTCAGATAACTAGATGCTAGCAACATTACAAATATGTTGCATACTTTAAGGCTACCAGATATACTGCTATGTTGACGGTAATACGTGAAAGACGTTGCATGAACTTAGGCGTTGGTAAATGATGAACAAATATATTTATTTCATTTGTAGTAATTTTAGTTCGTTTATTGTATGAACAACACAGTGGTTTGCGCAGCCACAAAACACATTGAATCACATACGAAGATACATACATATACTAACTATATAGTATTTTATATAAAACGTTTATGTATTTTTTACACAAGCATCTATTTCTCCTTCTCTTTTTCTGTGTCAAGCAAGACGCCCCAATTCTGCTGCAGTCATCTTGTCTGCCGGATAGCCCACACACCCAGACTTAAAGACGCCGCTTTTCATTCTATTTTGCCGCCAATTCGTATTCCTATTGTATTTTTTGTGATCTGGGGTAAAAAATCATCAAGTGGACCAGCAAGCAATAAAAAAACAAGCCGCCCCAATGATGCAAGATAAAGCAGAACAATCGAATGACAGCTTTTACACAGACAACTTCACTTCATTTGAAGTTAATTTCTTTGCGCAAAGGATCGAAAGGATTGCATTTTTAAAGGCGAAAAGAAGCTATAACTGTTTGCGTCATAGAATATATACATATGTATATATATCCAGCTTAGTAGAAAGGATGGGGGCAAAGTTAACCCATTAGCCCCATAACCACTCGAAACTGATAAAGAAAAGAGGCCCGAAGTAAGGATCTCAAAGGCCCCAGATATAAGAGGCAGCTTCAGTTCAAACTTGATACGCTATCTTCTATACTGGTACTACAATAAAACCCCTTATAGGATTACTGCGCTGAATGTACTAAGTTTGGACTATATTACATTCAAAAAATTGGGAGAGAGTATACGGATATTTTACTCTTCCAGCGCGAATATATTTAGTTAAGAAAGCTCAATGTAGTCGAGGGTTGTTCCAACAATAGAGACGGCTTATGTTATGGTTAGTTTGACTATGAATTACAGCAAAACCGAACCGATTTTACTTTCTTATACTTCATAGTATTAGACGCACTCAAGCTGGTGGAGCGCTACTTCAATGGAAAACCTTTGATATCTTGGGGTTACCTTGAATAACAAAATACCACAGATAAAGGTCCAACGATGAAGGAATTGATAACTGCAACATGCTTTCTATTGAGTCCTTTCCGATTGGTAGTAAACTCGACTATCGCAAAACGCTGTTCGGTTTCGTTTTTGCGATTCTTTTGTATCGGAGACAAGTGAGTCAAAGTTGATTGAGGAATGCTTGGAATATCTATCGATGGGATCAGGAAATGTTATGACATTAGGTTTAACAAGTTTATATTGCCTAATGAAGAGCACTTTAGTTTACTTATGACCTAGGACCTTTCGAGAATTTTGTCGTGCGCCTTCTCTTACTATTCTCTAGTACTAAATGTATGGATGATTCAGAGTCATTGTATCATCTTCTCATGAAATGAGCAAGATCTCGGATGGTAGCGAATTTTGAATGTAGGAAGAATAAAAAATCAAGTGAGTACAGCAAGTAAACGATAGATTTGTGAATTCGAACTGACATGCTGGATCATAGACTTCTGTACAGCCGGTAAATACTGCAAGAGACTATTAAATCACTTTTAAAGAGATTCGGTGGTTCTTAGTGTAGCTCAGCACCAGAAAGTTTGATTCGTGGCCCACAACCATCTGCACAGAACTTGAAGCCGTATATTCCTGACTTACAATAATTTGGCTCAGCTAAAATAAATGCTGTCCGAAGCATTCCTAAATACTCTGAATGTACCCTGATATTACCCTAACCTGAGTATATCAGATGTTTCATTGGAGCTATTCAATCGGTATGAAAATTTGAAGAGCCACAATCATTTTTTACTTAAAATATTCGCAAGAAGCGTAAAAACAGCCCTTCTAGTATTTTTTTAAAGCAAGTATAAAAACTCGCAAGTAATTTGCTCCACAAAAATTGGAGTAAGAGAAAAATCAATAGCGACCCAGACGGCGAAGGGCTTCAATGACATGTAAGGTAAATAGTAATATAAATACACGAAACACGCAAGCTCATAAATCCAAGCATAAAATGGCGCTAAAAACAACCCATTCAAAGTTGCCGTCGTCCTCGTATTACAATTACAAATTGGTACAGGAGGTAAATAGCATAACCAAGGGTTAATATTTCATTACATTAAATGCCGCTCATGTTTCCAAAAACTTTGTTTTGAGGAATTCAAAATTCTTCGAAAAGAAACTGTTTTTGTGGGTGCCAACACGAGCAATTTCACTTCGTTACTTGCATAGAAGCGTGGAGGAGCTGGAGAAGGCTGAAGACGCACACAAATATGGTTAACTGGTCTCATATGACCGTTTGGGGTGCACACGGAAATATTTTTACTGAGGCTAAGCCAAAAATTAAATATGTTGTCTGTTGTAAATACATTTCACTCTACTTTGGGGGTGGTTTCACATTTCATCCGCAGCTCCAATATGCTCCAAACTTGTGGGTGGAGCGATTTGCTGCAAAGCAAATAACTTTCGGTGGTTATTTCATACCTCTTACAAATAAATGTTATTCCATATTTACCTTCAAACAAATGGAAATTGACCTGTCTACGTGGCAGTCGTGGTTATTAAATTGGGGGAGCTTTTAGCTATAAGCCGCATTGTAATAAAACTCTGTATATGCCGAATGAAATATCAAGTGAAAGCTACGCCATGTTCTAAAAGACTTTCGTTTGAAGGGAGACATTACAAGGCAGTGCTAAAAATTACGGAATTCATTACGAAAACTAGAAAAAAAATAGTACAGATATTAGAAACATAACTCCTCTACTTGGTCCAACGCTCACTCCTTAACACTGACTCTGCTTCAGAAGCAAAAGTGGGTAAATAAAAATTCTTGCAATATACGTTAGGTTCGCCGTACAAATCTTGACATAAGGACACGGTAGCGTAGAGAGTTTAGTCCACCAAACGGGGTTTCCAATCACTGGTAGACATTCTAACTTGACAAGGAACTTTGAAAATCTGCAGCTGAAAATATTTTTGAATTTTTCTACTCTCATTTGGCTTAAGCGAATTGTTACGTTATTTTGTAGTCACAGAGCTTGTGGAATTCATTTGATTTAACTAAAAATTAGTTTGACCTTCTCTTTCGATGAAATTTTCAAGTTAGATGTCTAAAGGTATTAGCTGATTTCGTTCTATTAACTCGAAAGAAAAATTAGCATCCTTTTCTTCATGTGTGGGATTATGTATTAAGAACTGATTCAAAAACTGTCATGTTTCCACCTCCGGATAAAAAGCCCCTAGCGATTTTTAAAATTGAAGCTAAGGTTATAGACAATAATTTGGTATTTGGTGCTAACTCCGCATTGTGATGCTCTGAGAAAGGCTGGAGATCGATCAAATCCTTAAATAATATATATTCTAGCCGGACCTCGAGATAAGTTAATCTCTAGTCTGACGACGATATATTCTTATGATTGAACATATTTTTCAATTCGTGATTTACAGATCTTATATATTATATTAGAACGGGCATTTCTTATAACTTATTATGTTCTGGTTCGCTAAATAGTATATCAGAGGTAAAGAAAATTTCCAGAGTGTTTAAATACTAAAATTTCAACTTTTACAAAATTTTCACTTTTACCATGATAATCAGTTTGAAACATATGGAGTGTAAAAAGTATAAAGGTTAGGTTAAGTTAGTCTGCTGAGCCACGCATAGACCAGTTTTGGTCCTTAGCGATGCCAGATATAGTGTCGTTACGTAATTCATGAGAAGTAGTCATACTTCAGGATACCAGCGCTTGACGTGAATTTCAATAGGTTTTGCGGCCCACTATCCATACCTCTGCCACCATACCGTGGAGCCACCCAAGTGTTTGAAGCGTTGCCTTGCTCGTATAAAATAAGACTTTCTTTTCTTCCATGCTATGTTCTATTACCGATCACAGAACGTTCCATAATTATGGAAGATTCTGGTAATGTTAATCAAAACTGACTAAACGGATTTTTAATTTATTCCAATTTATTCAGAGATAGTTAACCTTGGACTTTTTGAATCAAAACAGTTAATGAGAAAGCTTCTCTGCATTTTCTGAGTCGTTGAGGCGCGGGATTATAATTGAGAAAAAAGAAATACTTACACCACTTATTTACACTTTTAATTATTAGACATGTCAAAGGACTTACCTTAATATTTATAATTATGTTAGCGCAGTTAGACTTTGGTGAGCTGGAAAGAAACAGAAGAAGATATGGTTAATTATTTTATAATACATCTGACAAAATTATGCTAGGATCATTAATTTTAACCAACAACTGACTACAAACAAAAAATATATGTAAGCTGTCTCTTATATGCCACCTTTCAGAATGGCGAATCGAACACACAACTGTCATAAATTAATGTGTCTGGCATAGTCAAATGAAGATAGTAGAGCCAGCTGTCAAACCACTTTAAAGTTGCTTATATTGAATTCTTTGTTGTTACTTTCACATGTTAGTTTTTGTAGAAGAGAGCAGAGCTCATACATAGCGAGCACAGAGCTAACGAATAGGAGACAAATATCTGCAATTTTTCTACTACAACAAATTTTGTACTAGTTTCATTTGCTCGTTGGCGCCATTTTTGAAAGCAAATTAGGAATTTTTGCCAATAAAGTGAATATTATCCTAGACAATACTGCAATTTGTTACATCATAACTTTGTCGTCTGATTGCACTGACCCAATTCGATAGGATATATTTGTGTTTGATGAGTTTTTACAGGGAGAGAAGATAGATGGACGGATAGATGGCTGAAATAAAAATGGCTACAATAACTGTACATACCATATGTACATATGAGCAATTCTAATTTTACATAAGGAAAAACTAATTCTAGTAAATATTCTACCAACCAAGTATTTTTTCCTCCATATATGCTTTTTGTTTAAACAGTTTTTATTGCTTTTGCTGTAAAACTTTGGGAATTTGGCGCCATGGAATGTGTTAGCAGACAGACCAAAAGTTTGAGTCAAGCGTAGGCAATCAAAAAAACAATTTCGTTTATATGAGTACATACAGACACTTGCCCTGCAAGAAAGCTCAGACCAATTTCGAACTAAATGAAAATGCCATTTAGAAACTTTCTTAAGCTTCTCAAAGAAAGATTTTTATTTTGCGAAGTTTTAAAATTTGTTGCCAGTACCTCTTAATGTTCACTACATGAACTCTTCTTTAATAGTGTCTGGGCCCACTGTAAATATTGAGTATGGTAACTGAATTCATTTTATGGCATTACATTTCTTTGCCTAGAAGCCATAATACTCTACACTCATTTAAGAACTGTCAAGAGTCATGGATTCGAAAGCTTGAGAATAAATAAAGATATTCTTTACAATAATTTTGGAAAAGCTTTTACTTAGTTCGAACTTGAGCGAAAATAAACGCGCTACTCTTAAAACGAGCTCTTCACCCTGCAAGCTTATATACAATATAAACTCAAAGGCCAGGCAGTAGGAATCATTCCAACGGGTGCACTAGAAAGGTTACTCAACTTACCATTGCACTCGACAAGCGGCAATCGGCAGCGAAATCAGTTGCAAGATTGGCGGCGTTAGGTGAAATACTGTGTTCCGAGCTACAAGGGCATTCCGGGAAACGAAATAGCCGAGGAGATTGCCAAAAGTGTCATCCACTTGGCTATCGAACCAGTGCAGAAAATACGCAAGTCGCTAAAACGATACACAAGGAAATTTCCGAAAGGGCGGACAGACGGATCAGGGAGAGTTGGAATGCCCTAGAGACATGCAAGATCGTTAAGATCATGTGCAAGGGAACAAAAGCAAAACACGCATGCTTCTTACTCACATCGTCTCGAAAAGACTTCAGGATGGTTGATGGCATAAAGACACGTCACAACTTACTGGTGTCACATACAATACGTAAGGGATTATTAACGATGACACATGTAGAAAGTGCAGGGATTAGGCATGAGAGAGACGCTGGAATACCTCTCTGCTTCTGTCCTGCCTGCGGCTTAAATATCTAAGAGCTTCGCAGTTCAACGGTCTAAATGAAGTATTAGAATTAGATATCAGGTCTCTATTAAACTTCGCGAAAAACGTTGACGTCTTGTACGTGGTATTAAACTGAACCTTTATTTGGCGTTGCAAAGGACCTGTAGTTCTATGTATGGCGTGACAGCCAGCCAGTATAAACTAACCTGGCGAGGAATCCGAATATTTTTACATATAATATAATATATAGTATATATGTGCAAGTGGATAACTTTTTGTTGCTTGAATGCAAATTTTCCAATTAGAGACTAGAGGTTTAATATTGCGAGCAAAGAAGTGCTTATATGCAATCTTTAATACTTCGCTATTTGTAATTAGTTACTTTATGAGCATAGGCTTGATAATTCTGTGCAGCAAAAGCTTTTTGAGGTCACGTGCTGGTATGGATATTTAACTAATACTTACACACAAGCTTATTCAATGGAGCTTAAAATATAATTAACTAATGAGCAGGAAACTCCACAGTAAGTCATAAAAGTTTACATATGACTTCATGCCCAGGTGGGTGTGTCCGAGCACCAGCAAATATGCTTCATTAATTTTCGGGGGCACAAAAGAGTTTGTGCTTGATCAATGAATAGCGTTATAAAGTCGTAAACAAAGGATGGGTATAACAAAGTATTAAAAGTAATAAAAATAAATATTAAATATTAATAGTTGCAGTAATGCCTTTACGCTTAGAACATTTAATGCTTTTTAGTTTTGGAGGAAATTTTTTGTACCGAAACTATTGCATATGTGTACGTATTAATGTCATATTATGCCTTCAAGTGCTCTTTTCATCATATTTGTTTACCTAAGTGTTTGGTGCTTACAAGCTGAGTGCCGGCAATTAAATCACTCATTTAGCTGCACTTCAAAATCTCAAGTAGTTAGTTGGCTTATAGCTTCTATATACTTATACATAAATACTCTTATATACAACTATATTCTATGTACTTATACAAAACTCTTCCGTCAGTGCACATGCTACCCTCACAACCCTTTCCGGTGCGTGATATTTCCTACTGCTATTATTCAGTAAATTTTCCCTCTGCTATAATTCTTTCTCTCCTGCCATATTCCACTTAACCATTCATTGATTTCTTATGCCATTCATTCAACATTTAAGCGTTTCTTATTGTTTAGGTTTCATTAGTTTTAAAGCTTGCTCGTAAAATCATAGATAATCTGTCTCGATAAATTGTTAATTGAGTGTGTAATTGAGTTGCGCAGGAAATTGGTCTGCTATGAAATTTCTTAGCAATTAGGGTTGATTAGTTAGAAGTGGTGCATGTAATAGAGAATGCATTGAAAATACGAGTGGAATGCTGATTTTAGGTCAACGAGTATATCAAAGCAAGAATTAATGAAATGAAAGTGAGGAGATGTTGTGTAGAGCAGACTGAGATTGTCGTTAGTTGTTGGAAAAAAATTCTTAAGTAAAAGTTAGGAAGTAATATTTAAGATTCTCTAAAAAAAATTTGGATTTCGAATTTTAAAAAATATATATCTATATCTAATCTATATATTTCAAGTGTTTTTTACTTACAAAGACCGTATTCTTAACAGAAAAAACATGCCGCGCGCTGGCGCTACCAACGAATTTGAGTGAATTTCACAAAGTCAGCTGTTTCGCTGACGTCAGTTTAGCGGAAAACAGATGGATATTTGACGATTGATTGCCTATAAAATATTATTATTTTACCGCCATAAGTTATTGTTATTCAACGCCATAAGAGTTCTCCTAAAAGCTTTAGGTCGTCTTTGAATAGCTAATAGTCTGATGGATTTTGTTGGCACATTTTCATATACGAATTACATTCGGAGTTTTGCCACTTTTCGCTAGAAGTTTATGAAATACTAAATTTAAATTCAATATTAAAAAAAAAACCGTCTCAGTATTCAATGCTGCTTTAATAAAACTTTTAGCGAATTTATGTGTGTCTTTCACTCGAAATCCACTAAAAATCATATGATCGTGTAGCTCCTTATGATAGATCGCTATAACAACTTCGGTGTTATAATAATATTTTTAATAAAAGTATTGAGAATTACAGATACATGAACTAGGCGAAAAAAATATAGCAACATTCGAAAAAATAGGGTCGTCATTTGAAGAGATTACTAATAATCGACAGGTGGTAAAAGTTCCGAAAGTCGATATTCTTTTCGCAACTTCGTTGAAAGAAAATATTGTTCGTTGTTGTTCACTTCGTGAAGTCTAGAGTTTTTTCCACTTTTCAGAAAGTATTCTGGCTGTTTGCTTTTAGCAGATACTTATAGTATTGCCTAAACATGAACCTCCATGCATTCTCTTTATTCTAATAGGCGCTCGCTTCGGTCTTAACCTTTTAAATATGTCAAAAAGATTTTACTAAAGTTTTATATCATATGTGCTGATATTCTATTTTGAATTTTTCTTTTTATTTAAACATTTGTCGGATCATAAGCAGAAAGTGTATACACCCTTTTATTAATTCAATTCCGTTGTTTTAAGAATTATCGCTGCAGACCTAGATAGGGAACTCTGACTAACTTAAAGTCATCTGATCATAATGGAGTTCGGCGGCTTTCGCTTCACCTGAACTGAAACCTGTAACTTTTTTGAAATCATCTGTATATTCTATCGGATCGTCAAGAAAATTGTTGTTGGTCTCGAAAGGGAAGTCTAATCTACATAGAACTAATTGGTCACCAAACGTATTTTCCGTTGTTAGGTCCGTCTGTGACAAGCCTAAAACTTTGTCTAAATTGAAATTTGCCAGACTTCCGAAACCGTCCGAAAATTTTATCGACTCGTCAGCAAAATACGAGTAAAAGATTCATTTCAGCTTTCCGAATTTCCATCGTGTCACCTAAACTAAAACAGAGCGTCAGACTCAACCTAGCTTGCCTAAATTCTATTTTGAAGTCTGTGTCATTGCTGCTGCTGAGCTTCACTTTGAAATGAGTTAAGTGAATCACTAGAACCAAGTAAGAAGACATCTTCTTCTACCAAATCATTCATTAAACACTTAACTGTCAATATAAATGAACGCTGTGTAGGCTTTCAATTAAATCAAAGTGTATCGGCCAACTATATCTATATGAAGACAACTGCCTCCAAACCACTTCCGCATCGCGCGTTGTAAGCCAAACTGCGGTGTTTGTAAACAAATACTAAGTGATTAAGTAAATTATTGTTGCTGCC